ATGTGGCAGTTAGTGTTGAGGGCGAATTAGTTTGACCCGAAGGTGAATTTGTCTTACCACAGCGCTAATTTTACAGCTAGTGCTGTTTTCCAATTCTGGTTCGCGCTCTAGTAAAGTCAAGTCAGCGTATGAAGCGAATTGATTGGTGCTTCAGTACAATAAATTAGTTCTGAAGCCTAATTTTGATTCTACTTGGCGAGAACCAACCAAATTAGTTCTCAACGCTAACTACTTTTTTTTCAGTGTGGCTTGAGGGGTGTTTCCTTGGAAAGGAAGAGAAATTGCGAAATGGCGTAATACGATGTAACGTAGTGCTGTTAAAAACCGCACATCGAAATGTTTTAAATAACGTTAGTTTTTTCAGGGAATTTAATTTCTTTTCTCAGATATTCTACGAAAATAATTATGATTTTATGTTTTTTTTTTTTTTAAATCTAGTATCCCATATTGGTAATCATTTGTACGTGACCAGCACATAGTGAATTATGTGGTATATCAAACGCCTAATGCAGAATTAATCTTTTAAAAGGTGATAAGATGTTACATGATCTGTTTTTTATATATTTTCAAATCTGCATCAAGTTGTGACCCGTGATTTGCGGGGTACTTAATCAGTATCAGAAGGGAAGGGCAATCGCGACATAGCCGTAACACTAGGTAACATAGTGCTGATTGAAAACCACACATCTTCATCCAGTTTTGATGCGAGATTTGCGGGGTTCTTCCACGGGAGGGAAGGGTAATGATTTCGCTGCGATCTCAACCCTGGCTGGCTTCAGCGTGTAACATAGATATTACAAAAAAAAGTTACACCGAAGACTGCATAAGGAAGGAAAAAACTCTCAATACGACCGCACATATTTTAAAAAAAAAAATTTAAAATGTTGCCGACAGCATTATAAAAAGATTTACAAAATATTTTTTGATTATTTGTCAAATATACAGATGTTCCCCCCATGATATTTTTTGGATAAAGTCCGATTTGATTTTAAATATTTTTAAAATATTTTAGCAATTTTTTTACATATTTTAGTTCTGTTGTGACTGTAAATGCATTGATATACCCACCCAAATATAGTATCATGCAACATAAGGCGGAAAAACACCCCAAAAACATGTATTTGTTTTGCAGATCTGTGATGGTAATCTGCGCATCATGAGTGTCGATTCACGCCACGGTAGCGCTACAAATGACTCATAGATACGGCGATTTTCTGTAAAAAACATGCAGAAGAGAGTTGCGTACACGAATGGATAGAGAAATACGAAACTTATTTGTGCGTAAAGTGTATTCTCATCCGTAAAGGAGGGAAAATGTAAGGGCAGGAGGCATTTTCAGTTTTTCTTTGCCAAGTTTTGGTATTATTTCTTCGTACAATGGAAAAAAAAAACACATTGGCTCTAGAGTCCAGACTCTTGAAAACATTGACAAGAAAAAGGACTCTTGATTCAATCAGATTTAAGCTTAAATCAGAAGGAATTCCGCTCAAATTAAGAGGCTTGGTTCTTGATTTCAGCAAAAAACCGAATAAATCAAGAGTATTTTTTCTTGTCGACGTTTTTAAGAGTCTGGACTCTAGATAAAATGTGTTTTTTTTCCAGTGAATGAGTGTGTTATTTTTTTATAAGAAACTACTATGGGTTACGTTTGGCGAAGGAAAGTGTACGGGCAAGGGTGGTGCTTAATTGTAGCTTTTGCACGGATACGGGTGTTTCCTTGGAAATATTAAAACCACCTAATGCAACACTTTTTATTTAAAAAAAAAAAAAATCCTCGGTAAGGTTTAGCGAGTCCTGGCCGCGTGGTAGGTACGCGTTCTGATAGATTCACACGGGTGAAACTTACATCATGAAGTCAATAGCAGAATATTTGTCTACGAAATTAATTGATTAAAAGTTACTGACTGCTTCACTGCGATGGTCATCTAAAAGACGAAGTTTACATCGTATGTCACTTGTCCCTGGAGACAAGAATCCTATACTCCAAAGCATGCTACAACTATTTTAACTCCTTAGCCGCTAGAATTGCGTCATTTGAGTTGAAGAGGATCTCGATTCCTCACTATCGTTTTCAACTACTCCGATATGAGCGTGAAGGCGCGGTTACATTCTGCCTTTTGCAACTTACATCCATGTCAGTATCATTTGTTTTAAATGGACAGTTGCAATGATAATTAGAAAAACTTGTGCAGTGAAAATGAGTCGAAAAATTTTTTCCGCGATGAAAAAATTCGATTCTGTAGTGCGAAGAAAATGAGAAGTACATAATTCCTTGAGACATAAAGACAAAAACTTCTTGAAACAAAGGTACAAAAATGTCGAAGTTCACAAAAAAAAAAGGGAGGAGATACAACTGTACACAGAAAGAAAACCCAACCGTAAAGTTTGGTTAACACAGGATGTAAATCACAAAATAACTCAAGTCTTCGGTTGAGTCTGGGGATTTCAAGAATTTCCATTGTTTTCTGTTTTAAGTTTGCAACACAAACTGGGCCGAAATCAACTCGAAATTTGGACTGGTTTGTGTATAATTTCCTAACTTAACCAAACGTAACACAAGAGCACATATGGATTGCATTTTGCAAAAAGGAACCAGAAACATTGCAATGATGCGAAGATTGTGCAAATTCATCCTTTGCAGTAAAATAACTGAAATCATGAAAAAATAAAAAAGTTACATGGTAATTTTTGTCTTAGATTCACAGTTTTCAGCGAGTGAAGTAGAAACTGTCAATGAATGATCAGGTTTTTTTTTTTTTCCAAGCAAGACCAAAGAAGTTGCGCAGTCTCAGCAACATTGCAATGCTCGTGGTTCCTTATTGCAAAATGTAATCCATATATTCTTCTCATCAGTGTAACAATATGGCAATTATAGGAGGTGAATACTTAGCGACTACAATTTTAAAGTGTAATGAAATTACCTGATTCTTTAATCCAGTAGTTTATGGACTTGGGCGATGCCTCTACGTAACATTGTAGCGTGACGTTGGTACCGATGGGCGCTCCAACAAGCTGGTTCGGCACTCGGATGGTGGGTATAACTGGTCCGTGAAACAAAGAAAAAGTAGAGTAATGAACCGAGAAAAGATTCCAGTAACGAACGTGATTGTACCGTTTTCATGTGAAAAACTATTCAGCAATTCTCAAGCTGGTATCGTCAAGATGGAGAAGTCAACATTGCATTTTATTTTAATGCCTTAATTTTCCTGGGGGGATCAATGACAAGCATCTGTTCCAACTTGACCCTTTAAAATATCCTTAAGTGCTTGTCTTTCGACACCGACAAATCTTTTTCTAAGATAAACTTCTTCACTTCTAGTTATCGTTCTCATTGATTCAATTATGATCGTTATCATTATTAAATGGGAAATGATCCTTCATTGTTTGAAAAATAACTTATTCGGATGCGTCGCGAGTAGGGAACTCAAGCTGTCTGAGTTGATTCGCTAAAACGGGTTCATCGCTGATGGAAAGAAATTGCAACTCCGGTCGCGAATCTTAAGACAACGAGAGAGCGAAATCAACAAGCGCTTAGCTCCAGTCGCTCGGCTTGGAAATAAAAGGCTCCCTTAATAAACACCGAGAGGTTGTTCAAGGCATTAACACCTTTTATTCCTGGATGAGTGTTTACAACTCCGGCGCAAAGACTTTCGAGCCCGAACAAAGGCTTGCAAGGGAAGCGCGTCGCGCAGTGGTTGACAATATACCTCATCACGGTGTCGCGAAGTATACACTGGAAAAAAAACCACATCGGATCTAGATTCCAGACTCTGGAAAACATTGACAAGAAAACATACTCTTGATTCAATCAGATTTTCGCTTCAATCAAAAGAAAATCCGCTCAAATTAAGAGGCTTGGTTCTTGATTTAAGCAAAAATCCGACTGCATCAAGAGTATTTTTTCTTGTCGATGTTTTTAAGAGTCTGGACTCTAGATCCAATGTGTTTTTCTTTCCGGTGTAGAATTGGATCATTTCCTCAGCTCATGTCACACGGTCACGTAATAATGTCACACGGGATTCCACAGTAGTGGAACCGTTGATTTTGGTAATATTATAGACAAAGACATAAAGACGGAGCGCTAAAAGCAAAAAATGAAGCTTCTTTTCAACCACCTCTACTATTGGCTAGAGGATTGGCGGCGAAATCGGGACAAGTTTGAAATTCAAATGTAGGGCGGGAACTAAATAAAATTGCGGAAACAAAGTATTTTAGGTTGATTTTTGCCCAAATTCACTTACACACTCATATTTTAATAACTTCAGGTTAGTTTCGGTCCGTCGTCAACCGATTAATTTCATTTGGGAGTAACGGTCATCTACGACTGTAACGGCCTGTTTGAACCGGCCACCATAAGCAGAAGAAAAACTAACTTTATCAGAGATTACTGCCTGTTACCGAGCAAAAGTAGGTGTAATATAGTAGGACGCAGTGCCAACTTTCTTAATATATTCGTTTTAGGCATTTAAAATACGTTTCGAAGAAGACATGTGGAAAAATCAAGAGGACAAGTTCAAATCAAATTTCCGTTTGCCGCCATGGATTCCCGCGCTCATTTACACACTCACTTTTTCCCCGTGCTTTTAGATACGAACACTCCGTCTTTATGTCTTTGATTATAGATGAGCACAGTAGCATAACCATGCTCATAATAGTATATCTGTGTCCACAGTAATATTACGGTGAACACGGTCATATCACCGTGCTCATCGTTACAAGAATCAAAATCCACGGTTCTACTACCGTGCAACCGTGGAATCCCGTGTGACATTACTACCGTTGGAACAGTGGAATAACCGTGTTGTTTTTTCTCTCGGTGTGCTATCAATACATCAAGGTCGAATGCTGTGATTGGTCTCATCGAATAAGCCAACTCACATCACCTGGCCTTCATATCAATAACCCAAAGTCAAGAGGCACTAACTCCAATTCAGTCATTCCGAGACAAAACGGACGTCGAGGCACTACTAGCAGAGCTGGCTGATTAAGACACCAGTTTTAACAGTATTACACACGACAGAGGTACATGCTTGATCCAACGACATTTCCGGCTGACATTACCGTACTTCTGCCTGGTGCAACTACGCTTAAAACTGGCACTGAAATCAGTCAGGAGTTTAGTTAGGATAGAGATACTTTTTTTTCGTGTGGCCTCAGGCCATCGCGGAACCTTTTCTTTCTAGATTATTGAAGTTGTTAATCTTGTTCATTCTCCATATATAAATCCTAATATCTTACCCTAAGAGAACGCTGAATACAGCACCGAAGTAAATGGAAATTCATGCGAGAAAATACCTCGTAATGATGGTAATTTGTAGTAATAAATTGTATTTAATAGTGCTTTTGACTGTAAAATGACTTTTGGCATCTGACCTTACTCAGGGCCAACTGATGGGGGCAAGTGAAAGAGAGGTACTTTACGGTGAATAATGGTATAAAGTCCTAAGTCTCAACAGAAGACGCGCAAAGCAGTAAAAGATACAGAAAGGTATTATGAGCACATTTAGGATATTAAATAATTTCAAGCAAAATATAATTAAGAGAGTAAGCATTAATTCTAAAAAAAAAAAGAAAAAAAAAAAAAACAGAATTACAATGGAGCACTGGAAAAAAACACATTGGATCTTGAGTCCAGACTCTTGAAAAATTTACGGAAAAACTGTTCTTGATTCAATTAGATTTAAGCTTAGATCAAAAGGAAATTTGCTCAAATTAATAGGCTTGGTTCTTGATTTAAGCTTGAATTTGATCAAATCAAGATTATTTTTTCTTGTCGATGTTTTTAAGAGTCTAGACTCTAGATCCAATGTGTTTTTTTTTTTTCCAGTGAGATAAAACAAAAATGATGCCCTGCATCCTGCATTTGAAACGTGAGTGAAGTCAACCAAAATGAAATCGACACAATGAAAAAAGTAACCCCAATTTTGTGCTGATAGGGGAGGTACAACACAAAGTAACCAAATCATTTCGGTGGACGTGGGAGTTTCTTAGCCTCTCAATTGTTTTCCGCGCTAAATTCACCGAAACATGTACCGAAATCAACCTAAAATTTGGGTTTGTATATTAACCAAAAGTGACACAAGAACTCACATATCGACGGTGAAACTACCAAACCACGTATCTCGTTTGCGGTGTCTAAAAATCTCCGCTCTCATTTTATTTTTCTGGAGGAGAACAATTCAATATCATTCCTTGAAGTTTTTACAGAATTTTCTTCGCACTGAGAAGAAAAATCACGGAAGTTTTCAAGAATTGACGTTGAATACTTTCCCATTTAAAAATTAAAGTATGGCAGGAAGTTTGCGACGTCGCAAACCGAGATACGTGGTTTGGTAGTTTCACCGTCGATATGTTTATCAGTGGAGAGGGTATTTCTTGAGCCGTCGCTGAAGCGTGCTCGAGGATGGATCGGGCGCCCACCGAGCGACCTCGGGGAGGGAGCATTTGCCGGATTAAGAGGAACGAGCCGTACAAATTGGAGCTGATACAATAACAGAGCATTAGCGGGATTAGAGCCGATTAAATTGAATCGAGACGAGGTTCGAACGTGGCGAGCGCTGCTAAGCACCGGATAAAAGCTGCGCGGCGTCTACGCGAGGCGCGGGCGGAGGGAGACAGGCTCGAAGGAAAAATGAAAATACAACGAGGAGACAAAGGTGAGAGGTCGGGAGGGTGTCAGAAGTCACAAATCAACGGCTCTGCAGAGCTTTGTGCGGTCGAGGAGCCACGCGATACGATGCGTCGCGTCCTTGTTTCGATAAACCACGCGGAGGGCGCCAGATTTTCTTCATCGCGCCTTCCTTCGCCAGGAGTTCTTTATTCCTACGAAAGGAGTGACAAAACAGATGTAATACATTTAAAAGCCTCCGTGCAGCCAGTTAAGAGTTAAAGATACACAGAGGGGTCTACTCTAGTTTGTTTTCAGTTTGGGAAACCCCGATTTTCGACTGCAAAGTCCTGATTTCATAATTTATCTGAATCCTGATCGAATCCTGATTTTTTTGTGGAGAAAAATTAAAGTTTCTGCGTTCAAAAGAAAAAAAAAAAAAATTCGATCGGACGGCCGACTCTTCTTGAATCCTGACTTTACGGCCGATTTTTCCTCAAATCCTGATGAAATCGGGATTAAATCCTGATTGACCTGAGATACTGATAGAATCGGGGAAAACCTGATGCTAGACACCCTGAATTAAAGCTCATTTGAGCAGGTCAACATGATACCCCTGGTGACTGAGATTAGTACTAAATGAGATACAGGATGGTCCATACTACCAACGCTTTCCCCCTTACAAAGATAAAAAAACGACTAACGTTATTTGAAATAAACTTTTGAAATCCTTTGTCACTACCAAAACTTACCTCCTTCTAAAAAACATAAGGTGGCAAAAAAAATGTTTACACTTACTATACAAAATTATAGTATAGATAAGTATACATTGCCTAAATAATAACACCAAACAAGTGATCGGTGATGACGAAAATCTGAAAATGTTATCGAGATTTTTCTATCGGGTGAGGAAACGACTTGCAAAAATCAAGAGATTGGACATTATCAAATTATTATCGAACTTCCTCAATGTAATATTTTCAGTACGGGAGTCTTAATCTTTCGAGTCGTGTGTTCCGGTGAAAAACGTCCTGGTAAGCCACAACTTTATTGTGTTAGAAACTAAGTGTCCAATATGTAACTGTAAACTTATTACAACTGCTGATGAAAATTGTTGTTTGTCAAAAAACTTACAATACCAATAATTAAGGAAAATAGCAATTTCAGAGAGAAACAGTTTTATTTCAGGTACTGATTCCAGCCTGGGGGTAGGACCCCTACCCTTTTAGGTTTTTATGGATGCTTCTAAGCCGAAAAGTCAGTCCTACAATTATTGGGAAAGACATTGGATTTGGCAGTCGCACTCGAGACAACTGCCAACCATGTCTCTTCCTCCCGAAAGAGTTCTGAAGAAGACTACTTCAGTTATTTTACATTTTTATTTTGCATTGTATTTTGCACCTGCCCAATCAGGCAACCAGCCGTGTAGTTGAA